CAAAAAGAGAAATTAAATACAGATCTGTTTATAAATATGTAAAAACAAAAGAACAAAATTTAGAAAATAAAAATATAGAAATATAGCTTTATAATAAGAGAAAGAAGATTCCTTAAGTAAAACAGCAAACCAAAAATCCATAAGTAAAAAGACCAGTTGATATGATTACATAAAAGATTAAAATGTTAGTACAACAGTAACACTGTAATAAAAATACAACATATGACAAAGACAGGGAAAGGAAAATCCTACAAATTTGATACAAAAATAAAATTTAGGCTAAATGAAGGGCTATAACATGCTAAAAATAGTACCAAACCAAAAGAAAACAGGCAAAGAACTACATCTGGAAATTCACAGAATATTTACAAGTTTATAGTAAGCACAAGAAGAATTATTCACCCTCAATACTGATTATGGAAATCCAAATTAAAGTAAGATTTTTCATTTGCAAGATGGCTAATAATTAATATTCGGTTCTAGTGAAGATATGAGGAAAAGGAATTTTTTTGTCTGTATTTTTTTTTTGGAGAGGTTTTTGCTACAGGGCGTGTGCACTTGCCAGAGAGACAGTGAGAAATCACACCCCAGGGGTGATGGCCACACCACAATCCCTTCTCCTCCATTCTCCTCTCGGGATCTTGGGCACGCATGCATACGCACCTGGCTTGAGTTTAAGCCACCGGGTCTGGGACTCAAACCACAGTCAACTACATGGGAGTCCAGTGACATAGCTGTTACACTACTGGTCCCTTTTCTATCCATTTTAATTGTGCTATCATTGGAGGGGGGGGAGAGGGAGGGAGGAAGAGAGGGATGGAGGGGGAGAGAGAGAAAGAAAGCATACCGAAGGAGAGATGGCTACACCGCAATCCCTTCTCCATTCTCCTTTTGGGACTTTGGGTACACTTACACATGCAACTGGTGTGTTTTTCAAGTCTCTGAGTTTGAGATTCAAATCATGCAGTTGTCAAGTGGGATTCTGCTGCCTTAACTACCATGTCACTATCTGGCCCCAAAAGTCTCTTTTACATATCTTTTTTTTTTTTTTTTTGAAAGAGATTTTTGCTATAGGGCCCGTGCTCTTGCCAGAAACAGAGAAACAGACACACAGAAAGTAAATCACCCCCCTAGGGGATGGCCACAAAGCAATAACTTCTCCTCTATTTTCCTCCCGGGATCTTAGGTATACATGTACACATACACACACACACAAACACGCACACACGTGAACACACGAGTTACGAGTGGCTGGGTCCAGGACTCGAAAAGCGGTTGGCCATGTTGTAGATCAGTGACATAACAATTATGTCATATGCTGGTCCTTCATATACTATTGATAGCAGTGTAAATTAATATGAGATTAATGGGGGTAATTTATCATTATTTCAAAAATTTTAAATATGCACCTCTTTTGACTTACAGTTTTAATTCTATTGAAATACTTCTTATAAGTATTTCAAAAAAGGATACTTCCACAAGGGTGTTCACTACAATATAGACTGTAAAATATTACATAGCTATTAAAAAGGAATGAGATAGAACTGAAAAAAGTTATTCCATTTACCATAGCCACCAAAAGTATACGATATTTAGGAATAAATCTAACCAAAGAAGTTAAAGACCTCCACAAATAAAACTATGAGAAGCTAAAAAAAGAAATTGAAAATGAAACAAAAAAATGGAAGGACATCCCATGTTCATGGATTGGAAGAGTTAATATAATCAAAATGGCAATTCTACCCAAATTAATCTACCTATTTAATGCAATGCCAATCAAAGTACCAGACACATTCTTCACAGATCTAGAAAATACAATCTTAAAATTTGTCTGGAATCATAAAAGACCCAGTATTGCCGAAGCAATTCTACACAAGAAGAGTGGAGTGGGCGGCATCTCACTCTCCGATCGAAAAATATATTACAAAGCTGTGGTAATAAAAACAGCATGGTACTGGCACAGAAACAGACACATGGACCAACGGAACAGAATAGAGTCCCCAGAATTAAGTGCCCAAACATAAAGTCAACTGATCTTTGACAAGGGGTACCAGTCAATCTAGTGGGAAAATGAAAGCCTCTTCAGCAAGTGGTGCTGGAAAAATTGAACTTCCACTTGCAGAAAGATGAATCTGAACCCCTACCTCTCTCCTTTGACAAAAATCAAGTCAAGATGGATCAAAGATCTAGATCTAAATCTAAGACCTCAAACTATAAAGCTGCTCCTGGAAAACACTGGGGAAACTCTGGGAGACATTGGTGTAG